TGTGTGTGTGTGTGTGTAGCTCTGCTGACATTGGGGCTGGATAATTCTTGGTTGTGGGGACTGTCTTGTGCATTGTAGGATGCATTGTTATCAGCATTCCTGAGTGCTACCCACTACAGGCCAGTAGCAGCCCCCTTTCCCCCCCCCCGTCGCCCCAAGTTATGACCACCCAAAATGCCAAATATCCCCTGGGGAGCAAAATCACCTCCAGTCAAGAACCCCGTGTGTGTGTGTGTGTGTGTGTGTGTGTGTGTGTGTGTGGTGTGCGCGCGCGCGTGCATCAAGCCAGATCACACTATGATCAGTTTTGAAATCTAATTTCCCAGTTAGTGGTACTCCACGATTACTACAGTTTCCTTCCATTTTCTTCTTGACTTCTGTTGAATGGCTGCCAAGTGTTGCTAGTCAAGAAAATTGTTGATTGACAAAAGAACAAATCCATTGCCATAGTAATCTTCTATTGCTGTGCAGCAAATTACAGGTATACCCCACTATCCAAAAGTAGTGTTCCTGTGAAACCTTTTGTAAGCTGAAATGGCGTAAAGCACAGAAGCAATTACCATTAATTTATATGCAACAAATTTTGAGTGGTCCCAGATCACTGGGCTCCAGAGGCCTCTGCGGGTGCCGGGACATAGTCTGGCTTGGAGGTGACACAGTGTCATGCCTGCTCAGGATCTCTGCTTCCAAATCTCAATGAGAAGAAGCCCGAGGCCCGGGGTTGTTGAGTGGCTTCCTCAAAGTCTGAATGAGAAGCTGGGCCTTTGGAATATGAACATTGTGCTCTTTCTATACTTGAACCATTTGAAGTAACAAGGTCGGGGCTGGAGGCAAAGCAGAGGAAAAGGGTTTTGAGAGCTTCTTTCTCAGGTACAGGCTGGCGTGAACTCTGCCTTCAAGCCACAGCCCCACCCCCCATGTCCTACCCAATCTCACCCTGCTTGGCTGCCTCTGGGGCCCAGCCTGCATATTACTGGGGTGCTGTGTCCCTGTAACCTCGCAGTGCTTGGCAGAGCTGAGCCAAAGGCCTCCGAGCACTTTTGATGGAAACTATGTGTCAGGCTGGAGCAGGGGGGCCCCCACTGCAGGGCTTCCAAACTCCTGTCTGTCCCTGGGGCCTCTGGCTCCTTCTTGCAGGTGTTGCTGGAACAGAAGTTGTGCTGAATGGAGGGTATAGTGTTCAACCCAAACTCCCTGCAGAGCGCAGGCACTGTCCTAGCCGTGCCCTCCGGGTCTTTGCTGTGGACCCATTGCATTTGGGGACTCCAGAAGTGGTTTATCACTTAGCACATGAGGCTTCTGTCTTCTACAGTGATACCACCAGGGGTCCCTTGGCAGGGGCTTGGGGGTTCCCTTACTTTACATTGATGGAAATGGTGGGTGTAACCCTGAGGCCCTATGGTCACAGTGGCCTGAGAGTACACATGACAGATGTGCCATGGATGTTACTGCTTGAGTGACCACGGTCTTAACCGAAGCTGGGTGCATACAGCCACTTGCCCTCCTCACGTCTCCTCCAGGCAGGTTCATCTCCCTCACCATGGCCTCTCTCCCCTATTTTCCCATGGCTGGGGAACAGTCTGAGCCTCACTGTGGGCCTCACAGGCTGAGGGCTGCAGAGTAATTCTGTCCCCGATCATGTGTCACACTCAGCCTCCAGGGCACAGAGCCCACTCCATCCTCTGGCCCAGACCCTCACATCCACACCTCAGGGAGGGTCAGACATTGTACCCAAGGCTGTGTCCATTGCTGCCTCTTCGAGAAAGAGGGGAGAAGCCTCGTGGACCAGAGAGGACGCCCTTCTGGTGGGTGCTGGAGACCCCAGATTGCAGAGAAATCAGCCTCCCCAGTTCTTGACCTTGTTTTGGCCAAACTGATCTGTTGGCCATCTCTACTCCTGTGTCTGCGAGACCCAAAAGCTGCACTGATGTGCACTTTCTCAGTGGACAGAATGAACCACTCTTCATCCCAGGGACCAATCTATGTTTTGGGCTTTTCCCAGCCTGATTCTTCTGCCATATTTGGAGAGAAACTCTGTTTTTCTTTTTAAAGTTGTTTTTAGGGGCCTTGTAGACAGTTCGCTAGACCACGACATTATGAGACTGCTCTGAGAGAAAACAGGTGGCCCCTTTCCGGCTGCTGAGCAGTCTCGGGGAGACCTAGCGGCCCCTTGGGGCTAGGTTTTGCAGGTGTGTGTTTGTGAATTTGAAAGAAGAAAACACTGGGAGTGACGCATGAGCATCACTTCTGAGAAAAAGGAAATATCTGAACCCTTCCTCAGCTTTTTCCCATAAACCCAGGAAAACACAGATAGAAAGTGAAACGGAGGAGAAACCAAAAGTGAAATGGTTCATTCACATTTCACAAAACTTTCCCATAGAATGGAAGTTATGTTACTCAAAAAAACCCCACAAAAAAAACAGAAGGAAATTAAGTTAGGACATTTTCCCAGTCTAGGGCAATACTAGATAAGGAAGCTGCCCAAGACCTGACTGCCAAGTCTGTGAATTGGGGAAACTAATTTCTGCCCACTTGAGCCTCATGAAAGATCCCCTCTTCCAGTCCTTTGAGCTCCTTGAAGAAAGTCAAGCAGCCATACAGAAACAACAGGAGCTGGGGTTCATTTATAAATAACCCAGGAACATTTTGTTGTTTTCAATTTTATAGGGCTGGGTTTTCCCAGCACTTAGGGCTCTGGGGAGATGTGTACACCATGGTGGGTCAGTGTGAGTGTTGCCGGGGACCCAGATCCTTGAAGCCTCATTCCGGCCACTGAACAACCACCTCTTTCAGGATCCTCAGCCCCGGGCCTTTCCCTGGAACAGCCCAGAAGTTGCATCTCCGGGGTGGACCCCTCAAAGCGCCATGTAGGAGACAAGACACTTGGCTCTAGGCTGGCCCAGGAAGTCTGGACTGGGTCCGCCTGCGGCTCTTGGTCACCAGCTAGCATACAGCCTATAGTGACACCCTGCCTAGGAGTTTCAATATTCTCTTTTGAGGAGAATGCCCAAGAAAGAGTCTCTTGGCTTCTTTTCACATGTTTTACTGTAGTTGATAAAAAGAATGCTAATCCAAATAAAAGCAGTAAATCCAGCACCTAAGATTGCAGGCAGGGCTCTCCAATGCTTAGAAAGGGAGAGGGGAAGGCAATCGATTTAACATTATTTATTCCCTCAGAGGGCACTGAGGCCTGACCCTACAAGGGGTGGGCAACCAAACCTCCCATATTGCCCTCTGGCTCCCAACTGACTCAGTTCCCCTAATATTCTGCTTGTTCTGAGTTCTTGCCTCTGTCCTCTTAGCCTGCCAGCCTGCTTTCTTCCCTGATAAGGCCTCCAGGCTCCCACATCTCCCAGAGGCCAGAAAGTTGGACATGAGGCCTTCAAGTTCCCAGGTATATTTTAGATCTGTCCAGGAGCCTCCGGGGACCCCCTCTGGCACTTTGGTGTCCTGCACTGGTTACATAATAATCACAATCCCCAAAGCTCTGACATCACCCACTGAAGATTCTCACCAGCCTGGACAGCCCAGGGGACCTCCATGTGCGGCCAGAGATAATGGCAGGGGAATGAGCCGTGTGGAACGGCCAGGAACTGGTGAGCAGGGGTGGGATGGAGGCCACAGATCAGAGTGAAAAACTGGTAACCGATGGTGACCCTGAGAGGAAAGCGGAAGTATTTAGGTTTTTAAGTTTCCCCTAAGTTCCCACAAAATTTCACTGTTGTCTCATGTTTCCCCTCGTCCTCACATAGGTAATTTCCCATTTCGCTTCTCCAAAACTCACGTGGCCAGAAGGCCCCAACTTCCTCTTTACCCTCTCCCACCCTCCCACAGATGCAGTCTCTTTAAGGAGGCCATCTCTTCTCTCCCACGTCATATGTCATTTTCGTCCTCTACTGCTTGTGTCCATCTCCAAATTCCCAGCCCCTTTGGCCTGAGGGGAGGAGCTCAACTCTTGCTGGTCAGCCTTTCCCCACTGGCCTCCTCTCCTTTCCCATTTTTCTTTCCCGTTACTACCCCGCCTTGGGAGTTCAGCTTCCTCTACTACCTCTTTCTTGCCTCGCCCTCTCCCAAAGCAGACAAAGATGCGGGGACGACAGTGGCAGGAAAACAGGGGCGAGAGAAGGCAAGGAAGAGCAGTGCGGATGGGAGACGCGCGGCCCTCGGGGTCCTCCAAAGCTTTCGGAGATTCTGAGCCCGTGGGAGGAAGAGGACCGTTCATGGGGGAACTATGGGTGGGGCATGTAGTTAGAAAGTTGCTGGGCGTCTCGCGGACGCCGGAAGGCACACTGACGCCCGGGACCTCCTCGCGCGCGGAACCCGCCTCCGGTCTTCCCAACCGCAGCAATACCGCGAGCCGGCGCAGTAGGGACGAGGCGAACCAGGTGTGGTTGCCACGGCACCCAGGCCAGGGGCGGAGAGCTGAGCAAGCGGCGCTCGCGAGATTTGCAATCAGCCAATGGGAGGCGGGGGAGGGAAGACGTGGCGCGGAGACCGCGGGCGGGGCTCTTTCCTCCCCCTCCCAATTCCTTGAGTCCTTGTGGCGGCGGCGGCACACATGCGCGCATCCGAACGGGAGGACGGGCCTTATAAAGGGCTCTCTACACGGCGCACGGTCCACTCCATAGAGGGCGCACCGCTAGTAGTGCCGTGCGCCTGCGCAGTGCGGGCCGCTCCCCGCCCCCTGCCCCGTCGCCCAGCTACCCCTCCGCCTGCCGGCCGGGCCCCGCCTCGGCTGCGCGCCCTCGCCCAGCTTACAGCCGCCGCTCTGCTCCGCAGCAGCCAGCCCCGTCTCCGGCAGCATGTTCAGCTGGGTCAGCAAGGATGCTCGCCGAAAGAAGGAGCCAGAGCTCTTCCAGACGGTGGCTGAGGGGCTACGGCAGCTGTACGCACAGAAGCTGCTGCCCCTGGAGGAGCACTACCGCTTCCACGAGTTCCACTCGCCCGCGCTGGAGGACGCTGACTTCGACAACAAGCCCATGGTGCTGCTCGTGGGCCAGTACAGCACGGGCAAGACCACCTTCATCCGGCACTTGATCGAGCAGGATTTCCCAGGGATGCGCATTGGGCCCGAGCCCACCACCGACTCCTTCATCGCGGTTATGCACGGCCCTACCGAGGGCGTGGTGCCTGGCAACGCGCTCGTCGTGGACCCGCGGCGCCCCTTCCGCAAGCTCAACGCCTTCGGCAACGCCTTCCTCAACAGGTACCCGCCCCTTGCCCTGGGGGGCAGAGGGTACGACCAGGTCCCCGACGCCGCACTCGGATCCCGACCCTCCCGCGGTCGCCCCCACGCCATCCTTTGTCTCCGAGGCACCGGAGAGACCTTCAGCGACCACTCCCTGGGACAGGGTCCCCTGCCGCTTCCCATAGAAAGCCCATTTAGGGATCTGGGAGTGGGCGTCGTTGGCTTTCTCAACTTCTGTCACCCCCAGAATTTTCTGGGTTATCAGTTTAACTCCCAAAGGTCCCAGCCCCAGTTCCCTCAGAAGGAAGGATTAGTCTTGTCTCCATCTCCTTCCTCCAGACTGGACGCACCTAATTCATTCAAACCACCACCCCTCTTCCTTCAAGGGTCTTGCTTAAGTGTCTGAGAAAATACGGTGAGACTTTTAGCCATTCCCTTTTGCTGATGTGATGTGATGCGCTGTGCCTCCCCTGGGGTCTGTGGTTTTGTGTAGGAGGAACTGGGAGGATGTGCTGTGGCCTGCTGAGTTTGGGGCAGCAGACAGATGGGATTGGATTGGAGCATTCCTCCCAGGGTCTGTGCTGCCTTAGGGGTTTCGGGAAGCAGCCTCAGGCGGTGGTTCAGGGTGCCCTGAAATAAAATATGATTCAGGCCCTGAGTCCCTCTGTAGACTCCATAGAAGGTTCCTTAATCTATTTGGGCCTGTTTCCCCAGTTAAATGGGTGAAACCTGATGTCTCGTGATGAGGCTAATCCAAGATTCTGTGATATTACGAATGAAACGCATTGGCCTCCTTTCCCAGGAGTGTAACAGCTTTTCTCTAAAGGAACTTGGAAATACTAGTTAGTGTTCTTAAAATCCCTGCCCCACCCCCATGGGCATACCACAAGACTTCGCAGATCTGCCCTCTCTGCCACCCCCCATTCAAGGAGTGACTCCACTTGCCTTTCTGGGTCTGGGTAAGAGCCTAAGAAAGAATCCTTGACGCTTGTCTTCTAGGTCCCTGCCCTGTATGATCACATTCCTTTCCGGACACTGTCCAGCCACACAGGGAGGACCAGCTTGCCCCCAGTCCAAGCCCAGGGCCAGTCCTACTCCCAGGAACAGCGCTGACCTTTCACAGAGAAGACAGACAGGCTACTGTTGTCTTTTTGCCCTTTTCAGGCTTTTAAACTCGTTCTCCTGTTTTTTAGCTGATAGCATTTGTGGATAGCATTTGTGTGTTAGGGCCAGAGTTGAGTAAAGCCCTTTGGTGAGACTCCTGAAGAGGCGTGGCCCTTTTAGCCTGGAGCCTTCCTCTGGAGGATGATGCTGGTGTTTTAGAATTATTGTGATTGTACATAGGGAATTGGCTCAGACTGTTGGCTGGTGGGCGTGGTGTGATCTTGTGGAAAGTTTGGCTGCTGTGCTGGGAATTCTGAGCATTATTAGTTCTCTACTTTTATGCAGAACTTTAGGGAGCTAGAAGGAAGGGTATCTATACCTCCCTTGGCTGCTCTTAGGTCTCCGCTCCTGCTTGTGAGAGCAGACCTTTTCTGAAAGGAGAAACAGGCATATGGCCTGTTTTCTGGATTTGGAGTCCTAAAGTTTCTGAGCTGGAAGGGATCTTAGATATCTAGGCAACCCCCACCTCGTGGGTTCAGGAAACCACGGTCTCTACGCTAGGCCGATTTGTCTGTCGAGCTCACCCAGCTGGTGGATGCAGCTCTGACTGTGTGCAGCCAGCATTGCTTCTGCAAATACAAAGAGCAAGTCAGGAGTGCTGGGTCCCAGACAGGCACTTTGATATGTTGGTGCCACAGGATGTGACAATCACACTTGTTTCCTTTTTGCCACCACCTCATCCCCCAGAGGGTCCCCAAATTCTAATGGCCCTGCTGAAAGGGGCCTTGTCAGCCAGAGATGGGGTGGGGCATGGTTTGCACTGGAGCCGAGGCCTGAAGCTGTGTCAGCCGGTGCCTCCCCACTAGCCAGGGCACACAAAGGGGGCTCTTCTCTGGCTGACACAGCCTCTCCCAGCGCCCTTAAAGGGACCCATTGAGTCAGGAACTTGACTTTCCGGCCTTTTCCCCCTAAGTGGCTGCTCTAAGATTAAAATCAGATGGAGCAGAGTGAAGCAGGACACAGTCAGGTTGTCCTAAGATCCTCCTGTGAAAACTCATTGCATAACTGGTACCGCCCACTTTGTAGTTCCAGGTGAAATCTGTGCGTCCTTGCTGGTGAGAGCATGGGATGGGATGCATCTGAAACTGCTTGTGCTTTGTGTTTTCCACCACATGCCCTGGGCTTTGCAGAACAATTATTTCTGAGTTCTACAGATCGGAGCTTACTCACCAGGCTCATTCGCAAAGTATTTTTATGTATGTTACGATCCAGAGCCAGCCCTACTTCAGATCCCTTTAGTTTGGTCTTCTCTACAGCGACTGCCTTCCCTAGCGGGACCCCAGGTCTGGCACGCCCTTATTTACCCACGCGGGGCTTTACTGCTCGCATGGGGGAGGATGAGGTCCAGTTTTGTGTACCCTGTGGGTCAGCTGGATTTGTTCTGTTGTGTTTGCAGGCCACCTCTCACCCCTGGCCAACTGCCCCTGGCCTGTGGGCCACTGGTCACATGGGGGGGGGGGGGCCAAAAAGGGAAGCTAATCAGCTCAGATTCCTCCCCACTGTTGGAAAGGCATCTTGAAGCCTACGTGCTACAGACAATGGGTCAGTATTTTCTTTGCTCACAATACCTTTTTTCAGAGATGTTTTTAAAGGAGTCTTTTCTGTGTCCAATCAAGAATCTCTGCTATCAGTTGGGATGGCCCCTTGCTGTCCTGGGCTGTTCTAAGTCCAGTGGAAACTTAGGCACACACAGCTAAGCCCTCACTCATGCGTTGCCAGCCTGCCTGTGGCTTTATTCTGCCTAGATCAGCTTTGACAGTCCTAGAATGGTGTCTGTACTTGCCTGCCCCACCATCTAACCTGTGTGGTCCCCCAGCTTTCACTGGCCACCCACTGCAGTCCCTTTCCCCAAGCAGCTGGGTGGAAGGGGAGGGCTGGGCCCAGCAGCAGTGGGAACAGATCTCTCTCTTCCATGTGTGGAAATGTAGACAAGTGGTTGAACATTTAACTATGGAGCCCCAAGGTTCGAGTGTCACCCTTCTGCTTCCCTTCTGTATTAGAATGGTGACCTAGGCTCCTTGCAGTTTTCACTCATATATCAGCAACTTGAAAGCTGAACTCTTGAACTCTGGGGGGAAAGCTAATGTGAGGGAAGTGCTGATGTAGGTCAGTTTGAGCCTGCTGGTTGGATTCCAGTTAAGAGAACATGTACAGCTTGCTGGCCCCCCCTGGAACCTTAGATGATAGAAAACCTGTAAATGCCTTGCTTCTGGAAAGGAAGCAGGGGTGGCAGTGGAGCACGGAGAGCAGTGATAGCTGAGTCGTGACCTCTCTCTTCTGGCTCTTGCTGTTGTGCAGGTTCATGTGTGCCCAGCTGCCCAACCCGGTCTTGGACAGCATAAGCATCATCGACACCCCTGGGATCCTGTCTGGAGAGAAACAGCGCATCAGCAGAGGTAAACAGGCTGTGACACAGCCCAGGGCACCTGGGGTAGTCGGACTACTTCCATCTGATGTCTGTGACAGGCTGTGACGCAGCCCAGGGCACCTGGGATAGCCAGACTACTTCCATCTGATGTCTGTGACAGGCTGTGACACAGCCCAGGGCACCTGGGATAGTCGGACTACTTCCATCTGATGTCTGTGACACAGATGCTGCCCTTGAAGTCTGTCCCAGCCCAAGTGAGAACCCATTTTCCACTGGCCTCGTGTGTCCATAGCGTTCCGAGCCCTGAGAGGCAGGCGCTGCTTTCTTCTTTGGCTCCCTTCGCTACGGTTGCAGGAGCTGTCAGGTGAGACCACAGCTATTGTTCTGTGGCTTCCTCAGCCCCTGGGGCATGCTGGAAAGGACAGGATTGGGAGATGGAGCCTGGGGGTGGCTGTGAGGTCACAGGCAATTGCTCCGGTATCTGGGCTCTGAGATCCCTCAGCCAGCATTGTTGACTATGAATGAGCCCCTGTCTCCCAGGGGCTCACTCAACTTAGTTTGTGTTTAAAAGCTTTGCCTCCCGAAGCCATATACATTCCTAGTGAGTCTTGCAGGCCTGAGAGAAAACAGTTTGACTTGGAATGTGCTTAAATTTGCTTAAATGGGCGTCAGTAGCAGCCTCCCTGGGTGCAGTGCATGGCGGAAGGCTTTCATGCTGAGTATTAGCGCACCGGGTCCATTCCACTTGTGTAAACTCCTGGCTTGATTTTGGTAAATTTTTCTGAAGATCTGGTTCAGGACGTGCCTGAACTGGGTTCTAATTTTGCTGTACCCCCCGCCTTTTGTAGAAGGGAGGGGAGCTCGGGGCCTGGAGGAACATGAAGCAGGAGGTTGATATGTGGCAGGCCAGGAGTGGAGCCTGCAGCTGCAAATGTGAAAGTGAAATGAGATCAGACTCAGAGAGGGGTTGAGGACAAGTGACTAGTTTGTTTATCATCAGCTTGCAGATCTTCCCTGCTCTGCTTCCCCTCTGGGCTGCCCAGCGTTGGTGAGCTTTGCAGCTGAAGCCAGCAGCCTTCAACTTGAGATTTGGTGGGTAGTGTGTCTACTGTGGCTATGAGGAGTGGGGCCCTGTTGTTGGTGCTGACAAACCTTGCTTCTCTTCTTTTCCAGGCCTGCGGGCCCCTGACCATATAGGATGGCCTCAGAGCACACTGAGCCTGCTCTATCTGTCTCTAGATCTGCCTTAAACTTTTAGGTTCTCTGCCTGATGATAATGACACTTCTAGGAGTTCAAGGGAACAAATTTGGGGACCTCTTCTAAAAAGGCGAGGGCCAGGTTTTCCTTTCTTACTGCTGTTACTGTTCCTACCTGGTTTTAAGAACATGCCTGATAAGCAGGTCTTGTCATTTGCCAAAGCCAGGCTAGAAAACCGAATCAGTTCCTCTTAAAGGGAAAGACCCACAGAAGGGAATTTATTCTCAGTCTGCCTCCAGGGCTGAGCTATCCTGGAGGGACTGACTCTCTATAGAGCTGTCTTTTGAATGACCTAGAGGAGTAGGTGGAGGGTCTTTGCAGAGTGCTCCCAGCCCCGGTTGATGTGTACACATCTTTGGATGGGGGACATTAGCTCGCCAAAAGAGCTATGAATCTAGAATGCCGTGCTCAGTATGGCCTTCAGAGCTGGGAGTTAAGGTATTTGAGGGAAAGGGTGTAGGGTTCTTGTGACCCTGTTGTCCCATGAAAGGGAACTAGAAAGAGCCGTTTTCTGCTGGTACTGGGAAGTTCCCCTGCTGGCTGTCTTTGACACTTTAGCTTGTGTCCTTAGAACCTAGCCAGCTGAGAAGTTAGGAATGTGTGTCTTGATACATTAGGTACCCAGGCCCTGCCTGCTGGGATGTTGCCCTCCCCTGCCTCCCCTTCCCTCTGCTTCCTTTCTGTGTTAGCAAAAAGGTAGGCAGTGGTGTCCAAATTTGCTCTCTGGGACAGGCACCAGAGCAGTGTCTTAGCATGCCTTCCAGGCAGACAAGGGTGCATTTGACAGGGGCTGGGGAGGACCCGGATGCAAGGCAGCCGGGGTTTCTGTTGCCTGAGCAGATGGCAGATACATGGAGGAAGAGGCTAGCTGAAGACACGGGGCTCTGTTCATGCTCAGCCTGGCTCCGCCTTGTGGGCCCTGCCTGTACCTCTCCAGGTGTGGCCTCTTTGGGTCCCTGGGCAGCCACAGAAGGCATCCCCGCCCCATCAGAGGCAAGAAGAAGGAGGGTGGCTTAAGATAAGTGCATTGTTCTGATTGGCGAGGGCTTCCTCCTATGAAATAGCGAGACTTCAAACTGATTTTACCTAGACCATGTCTTTCCCTCCATAATCCTAGAGGCCTGGGTTTAAAGTTTTACTAAAAGCTACAAGTTGGGATTTGCTGTGGAATATATTTGGTGTCAGCATGTTATCAGCAAGAGAAGGGCCATCGTGTGGTGCCTCTTAGATGTCCTGGGTGTGGGCTCCAGGGGTGGTAACCACTGGTCAGATGGAAAAGGAGTGGATTTCTCTTTCTCGAGGCCCCACCCATCAGACATTGCCAAGGTCCCATGTTGCCCTGTCCAGCATGGGAAGTCCGAGTAGGGGAGAGTGTTCTAGGCTCCCCAGCCGCCGCCTCTCTGCTCCCTTTGCTGATGGCATGGAAAGCAGGTGTTTCCCTCTCAGAAAGATAGAGCCAACAGAAACTATGGGTCCCAGGCAAGCAGCAAGCCTGTCTGTGGTCGCCAGCCTCACTTCCTGGAAATGGAACACCCTTCTGGAGGTTGCACGAACATTAGAGTTGCTAATCACATCCGCTTCCATTCCCCACCCTATCTGCTGGCTCCCTCCCGACTTTTTCCCCTTTTCCCCATGGTCCTTAATGTGTGCAGGAAAGATAAAGTAGGGCCCATGCAGGCCCAAGGAAGTCAGGACACAGCCCAGGCTCTGCAAGAGACCCCCCCGAGATTCACGACGGGGGTCTCGGGCTGCACTTCCCTGTTGTGCTAATCTCCTGAGTAATTTTAAAGATAGCGTTCTCTTGTGTCAGCAGAGCAGGTGACCTGCCGACGCAGTGTTCATTCCTGAGTGCTGCCTGTGTGAGAGACAGAGGGCATTCCAAAGGGCATCTGGGGCCAGCTGGGCTGGTGCCCTGGGCTCCCAGGCTGCTGGCCTCTTGCAGTCACGTCAGGGTCTTCCTACAGCAGGTCCTCGGTGGCAGCGGTAGAAAGCACACTCAGATGGCAGCTCCAGCATGGGAGTCAGGGACCTGGCCAGTGCACACCGTCGCCGTTGTCACTATGTCGAGCTGAGCCGTAACTTTTGTGTCTATTTCCCCAGAAGTCGTGTCAGTGGGGAAGTTTTGTTTGAACTTGGATTAGGAGATTGGAGCCCAGCCAGCCTTGTGCCTGGCTTTCTGCTGATCACTGCTACATGAACCCACTCCACATAGTTGTCACAGCAGCTGCACCTCTGAGGAAGCTACTGCTTTTCAGATGAGGAAATAGAGGCTTAGCAAAGTTGAGTAATTAGCCCAAGATGTCACACAGGCTAGTTTGCAGAGGCTGTGCTCACACCGCGCAGGTGTGAGAGGATGCTCTGGGGTGAAGGAGCCCCTGAGAGCTTGGATCAGACTAGCCCTGACCCTCGTAGGTCATTACCGTGCAGAGTTTCTGAGCGCTCCTGAAATGCTTCTCTTCTGGCCTGAGATCAGAAATGGACCTGAGGTCCACTGTTGTTCGAACAACAATGCTGGAATCTTCTTCTGTTCCCCTATTCTCTGCTTCCAGCTAGAAATTGCCCCCGAGGCCATCCATGGATTGGTACTAGGAGCCTTGGCCAAGGCTAGCTGGTCCCCTGGGTTCTCACTTGCCCTCCGGCTGACTGTCCCTGATTCCCAGACTCCATCCAAGCACCCGGAGCCGGCCTGCTCCTTAATGGTCAGGTATAGCCTCCCCAGCCCAGACCTGGAGCTCTCTGACCCAGAGGTGTTCCTTCCCGCTGACCCTCATGCTGACAGTCTCCTGAGATGCCCCACCAACGAAAACCCTCCAGACCAGTGTTTCACCAGGGTTTTTCAGCCCGTAGAATGTTTCATGAAGTTGCCCAAAAGCCTTGTGCAAGACTGAGTGCTGCATGCCTCCTGGCTTCCCAGCGCCCACAGCACTGCTAATGACAGAAGATTCCAGTTCCAGGTCAGTACTTTAGGGGTCAGGGGCTCTCAGGAGTTGCTGCAGCCCCTGGAGTCACACTAGTAAAACAGGATAGCAACCCAGCGACTTGTTCTTGTCGAGGGCACTTGGATGTCCATGTGGCAAGCTGCCCTGGTGCCTGGTGCACAGATAAGTGTTCTACAGATGTCAGCTGGTTGAAAATGAAGACACTGGAAAATACAGGAGTTTCCAGACTTCGATGAGGAAGACCTTTTTCTGAGTAACATCCCGAGGAGCTGAGGATGGGAAAACTCTGACTCAGCGGGCTTTCCCTTCAGATTCCACGTCCTCTGGCCCCAGCGCAGCAACCTCCTGAAAGCCTTCCTCTTGCCACCGTCCCCTGCTGTCTCCCATCCCCCAGTCCAGCCTGACAGTTTTTGGCCCAAGCCCTCAATGGGAACTCTGCCGGCTCTGCCTGCCGAGGGCGTGGGCCGCTCCGCCTGTGGAGGAGTGGTACCAGCCGGTGCTGGCACTTGGCACCTGTCCGAGGCTGCCAGCCCGACAGCCGGCTTGGTAGCAGCTGGCCCGAGCGCCTGCACGTTTGGTTTATATTTGGGATATGAGGCATTCTTCATGGCGTTTTAGAAGTGGTCGTTGCCTCTATACCCATCTGAATCTGAGCTTCTTGAGTCCAAACTACAAATCCTGTGGGTAAATATTAGCAAACATTTCCCGAGTGCTTACAACGTGCCAGGCACCCGCTCGATGCTCACAGCAGCCCTGTGAGGACAAACTGAGCCTCAGAGAGGGAAACTGGCTTGCTAGGTTCACACCACTGGTTGAGTAGAAGGTTCGGGA